TAACATTAATAATGTTATACTAAATGATCATGTATACATTTTACATACATGCAAAATAAATGAATACCCCTTCTATTAACCTGCTGAATGATGTTTACTGACACAAACTGAACTATTTATTGTTTTTTGTATTTTAACATTTTGCTTTTTTAATTTCTTTACATGACACTGTTATCCTAAATGCCTATACTTTCAACAACAACGCTTATTGTAACTTAAAGTAATCCTTTTTTACATTGTACTTTGTTTACATCTTCATTTTCAATACCATCTATGATTCTTAGCTATTGGTCTTTTTAAATCATAAAATTGTTTCAAGGTTGTATATATTACTATGGGGACTTCCTCTATAATGATAAATCATATGAAAACGATCAATCTAGGGCAATGCATCCCACAGCTGGGAACTCAGAGACCTTCAGGGGTCCTTGAGGGGCTTCCAGGGACTTGAGCAAAAAGAGATATATAGGCTAACTTTCACAATCATTTCCCTCAGCTAAGACTCACTCAGTCATACATGTGTCTTTATTCCACTGATTTCTTTCTCCTTCATGTTCACTCAACTCCTACTGCTTTCATTACCAAGGCACATTTTATGGAAGCATTTTTACAGAAAGTATATAAATCTTACTCGGTTTAATTATATGGAGGGTTTAGTGAGTACATTTGGGTCGTTCCTAATAAGACAAACACTGAATGACCCGTTTAGAACAGGTTTATCTTAACAGTTAAAGCATCCAAAAAGCCTTCTTTATTAAATGAATAGATTATTTGTTGACTACAGATATACATCTTTATCAATCTATAGATGTGATGCTGTGATGACTTTAAGAGATAGCTACAATTGCAAACTAGTCTACATGATGCATTTCGTAGAGCCTTTATGGTGTGCTGCTCATAGTTTTTTGAAGACTAAGAGCCGGCCTTTCAAATATTAACATCACTTTGTCACCCTTATTTGACAGTCTCAGTTTCCATGGAAACACCACTTTCTCCTGCACCGCAGACTATGCAAATGCAGATCACAGAGGTGTTGGCAGAGAAAGTATAAAGCAGCAATTACTTTAGACTGAGTTGCTCAAAGTTCAACATAAACCGTAACGTGCAGGTCAAACTAAGTCACGCTCACACTTTGCTGGGGTCTCCTCACCTCAGAACCACCTTTGCCAAGACCCCAGAGAAGAGTCATCGCAACAAGCACAAAGGCAAACACATAAGGGCACTTATGGATCAATATCCTGTGGGAAATTTCATAACAACACAAAAAAGGAATATATTAAACACCAAGAAGCAGGACAATGTCATTTAAATCCCTACAAACATTCCTTAAAACCTATTATATCCCACAACTAAAAGGATTTGGGGTGTAGCAAATTCATTTTTCTGCAGGTTCCTTCACATTTGAATGACTTCACAGGCTCAAATCTGTTGCAATCCTCTTTTGCTGTCATGCTTCAGGAAAGCTGAAGGTGTATCCTGCCAGAAAGCAGCAGCAGCAGCAGCAGCTATAGGCCTGGCCACAGCTCTTACAAAGCAGCAATATTAATGACCAGCATTTCAATATGAGAGATGGAGACATCCTGGCAACAATGCATTACCTGATTCTGCTAAATGCAACTCACATCCATCTTTTCATCACATACACACAAAAAGATCAGGTAATATTATTTCCATGGCGTTGCTGGGCATCAGCCTCCTGTAGCCAACATACACCGCCTGGCACCGCAAAATTCAGCGTAACGTCGTCATTTCTGCAGGTCGGGCTGCCACCCACATTAAGAAATGCGCAGCCACTACCCAAAATGTCTAATCTGATCCATCTCTGCTGGAGCTGGCAGGCAAACTGGATGCTGCTCCGCGTCCCCAATCCCCAAATTTTAACGAAATGCGTAACAACAAACGTTAAAAGATTTACCTTGGAAATCAATATGCCGGCTCTTTGGGTTTTTCCAATTTCCTTCACTGGTTTCAATAATAACGCGTCCAACATCGCTCAGCCCTTCCGTGCCTCTGTTTTGCTGAGAGTCAGGGTGTGGAATACACACGCATGGCACGTAAAGATGCAAAGGCTTTTTTAATGTGGATGCAATTTCCTTTGGAGCCACACACCAGCACACACAGCTCCTTCACGTGGAAGGATTACTTTTTTTTAGAAACGCAGTAATGTAGTTTGAAAACTCATCTCTTTCGACTCCACTTCGAGCGATAGAATTACTAACAAAGAATTGCTAACAAAGAGTTGCTAACAAAGCACTTATATACTAATAAAGGACTGGCTTATCTAAAGCCAGTTGAGTAGCACGTGAAATGTTTTGGCTCTATGAAACCTGATGTGCTTAAATGATTCTGTTTTCTTCAAGTTTCTATCTTGTTGGTCGAATGCACTTGTAAATCGCTTTGGATAAAAGCGTCAGCTAAATGCAATGTAATGTAATGTAGCTTTTTTCTATTTTGGATAGCCTACCAGAATGCACCTGTAAATGACCTTAAAAAAAGAAGAAAATGAGATTACAGTGCACATTTATATTCAGTTGTAATATGTGTAATGCTTCATAATTTGTCTGAGGTCAATAGCATGTCAGCATATTTCTAATGTTTCATTTAATCTGAATTGATGTGGATGCATTTACAGATGCAATATTTAATAATAATTACCTTTTATTTTCTTGCACTTTGCAGATATAACTGTGGGAGACAAAGAAATGGTGACACAAAATAGTCAGCTTATAATAATTGTGTTATCATGTGTATTTGAATGTAAACACATTGTTATGATGTAAAATAAACTAAAATAAATTCTCTGTTTGTGTCCCTTACACACAGAATTGGTTCCTTATAGTTTCCATAATCCATGTCTGCGGAACATCCTATTTTAATACAACATGAACTAAGTTTCTCAAGCGAATAATGCCATAGAACCATATAGTCATTAATTTACCTGAACATTTCTAAAGAAAATGGTTTAATTTGCAGTCAAAATGGTTGAAATGATCATCAGGATTGTGTTCTTGGGTTCCTAACACTGGAGATTATTAGGAATTAAAATGTGTAGCTCCCTGTCCTCCCAGCAGAGGCCAGCACACACTCTGCAGAGTCTGACACAGAAGTGCTGACTCACCCCTGCTAACATCAACCTTCCTGAGACTTACAGAGGGAAGAGACAAATGAAAGCCCACAGTGATCCATCACCACTGCAGGGGGTGTCACTGCAGACCCTCACCCTCTGCTCTGGAACATGTAGCATCTGACAGGAAGAGAGCAGGGATACAGATTAATAACTGATACACGGTTCACCAAAGTAAAACAAATGCAAGTGCGTAAGATATACACGTTTAAGGTTATAAGGTTCAGTTTGTGTTGAAACTGTTAGAAAGGGAATTAAATTATGAGGGTGGGAGTTGCCAGAGTCAATGTTCACCCCTGCACTATAATCACACCACGAGCAAGAGAACACAGAGACATCTCTAATTTAGTTACAAAGATAGAAGCAAACAGGGTACTGCATCCATCAAATGTAATAAAGCAGAGGAAACAAGACACATTCAACTCTATATTTAGACCAAAAGTATGATTGCCTTTTGTCTCTGATGAAAACAAAGCAATGAAACGTTGTCTGATATCCGTGCCTGATAATAATAAAAGTCTTTATATCAATCAGTTTACCAAATGCTGGACATGACTACTTGTGGCTACCGGAATGTTACAATAAACTGTGAAAGTGTTCAAGCTGTGGAAATAAAGACAACACCTAAACTTGACACACACAACCGTGGTAGCAACATGTCACAAGGTAGACCCGCCCTAAAGCATACTAGGCGTTATCATCTGTTTTACTTTAAATAGGACCATAATATACCAAATGAAACACAGCATGTTTAATTTGCTATATGCTATTTATCATAAGGAACATGTTCACTGAGGTAATACATTAAGGGAGCAGTCAGGTACTTTTTTCATAAACTTCTACACAATCAAACTTATTTTGCCACGAGTGAAGTCGGCCCCTGTTGGATTTTGGAGGGAAGGCAGCTTTAAGGTAGCATTGGCCTTAATTTACAGACCACGAGGTATCCGCTTGGTTCATGGTAATCTAGATACACCCCAATCAAAAAGTGTGATCCACTGAGCTCTATGGCACACAGGAATATAGGAGGAACATTATTTAGGCGCTGACGACAAATATACTACATATTAAACTTGTAATATTTCTTGTTGGAAACAATGTTTTGCGGATTTACATATTTTTAAGGGATTTGTTGACTATAAAAAAAAGAATATCACTAATATTTTTAAATATTGTTATATGTATAATAGTTTTCAAACACCACTCAATGTGTGCAATCTTTGAACAAGATTATTCAAATTTCTTATGAAGCTTAAAATATTTGTTCTAAGCTGACAGTGAGTCTTTGTTGTCAGTTCTACTCTCCGCACACTTGAAGCCTTGTTTTGCTCACGCTGGAACAAAGAGGTGTCAGTTTAGTAACCAAAGCACATTGCCTGGTACTTGCAGTGACACTGATGTAAACAGAAACATTTGTGTGACACACTTTTCTTATTTTCAGCCTCTTTTGTGCAGCACAGTTCAGTAAGTGGCATTGATTGCACTCAGTAACCTCATATTTGAATGTTTCAGGAACATTATTTGCTGTAAGAGCTCACTATAGTCTTATTAAGGTTGTCACGGGGCATTTTTGAACACTTCCTATGGAACAGAAGGTCATGGCTCCTGGGAAATTAAATTGCTTTATGCCTGTCTTCCTTATTTACATTGACAGCAGGCTTCAGCAATGCCATTAAAGAAATACGATCAACATAAATTCTGATGTCCTTCATTTCATTTCGTCCAATGAAATGCTGTGACGTCAAATAGCAACATGACCTGCGATCCAATCGAAATGTCCCCCCACCAAAAAGCCACACCTTCCCATCCTCCCAGCTCAACCTGCGCTGTCATGGTGCTTACTCTGGATGCAGTTGTCATGGAGATGGAAAGCAGCTCAGCGTCCACTGGTGGCACTGTTACCATGGAAATCCCTATCGTAGGACCTGCCACAGTGGAGGGAGCAGAGCGTGTTCAGCACCATGGACAGCATCGAGCAGCTTTACAGCACAGAAACTATCGCATGCTGATCGTCATCGGAGAGATTTCCACCAGCCATCACCTTGATGCTGCCAGGAAACAGATCACACAGGGTAAGTCAAGGGAGGAGTGGTCAGAAGACCTGGGGCTGCTGAGGGGGGGGGGGGGGGGGGGGGGGCTCTCAGTGGGGGACTGGAAACACTCACTGCAGCTAAAAACATCTTGGTGTCAACCTTAGAGTAGATAGGATAATATACAGTAATGTATCACTGTAGGGAAATACAGGCGTCATATCAGCAACAGTGAGAAGAGTAATACACAGGATAGTACACATAGTTCAGACACAGATTATCACAATGAAAACAGAGTAAACACGAAGGTAACAGTACTAATAAAAAAAAAAGGTAAGACACTGGGTAGCTACATTTACATATCAACAGATGTGTTCTGATTAAATCTATTCCAAACACATGTTGTATTTTGAGGAAGTATTCTTATGCTTTACTTAAAAAGTACAAATACCATAGTCTTAAAATACTGATCAGGTAAAAGTCCTGATTTCAAAATGTGACTGGCAGTATAAGAAAAGTAGCAAAATGTTGCTAAAGTACATAAAGCGCACTCTCTTTTCAGTGTTTATTAAATAATCTATGTGGAGTATTGTATATTATTACTAATGAAAACATACAAGCAGCGCTTCAGTGCTGGAGTTTCTGAATGGGTACATATTTGTTACTTTACACTGAATCGGGTTATTTAATGGTATAATACCGCATCATATTTCATAGAACTAACATACATTTGCATATTAAAGACCTAATCTGAAAAGTAAAACTTATTTCACTCTGAAATGTAAATACTTAAGTTAGTAAAGTACAAGTACCTCAAATGTGTACTTAAGTATAGTACTTGAGTAAATACTCTCCACAGCTGTAGACATCTAAAAGTTCCATGTTACTACATATGCATAAATAAAATCCATGAATCCTGCAACATGAAGATAGATATCTGTATTTTCTTTTATTATTTCACAAACCTTTACTCATTAAGAATTGTTTTATTATACTTACAAACAAAGTGAGCTTCTAATTATCCTTCTTTTCTATTTTATTTAGATACTGATTGGGTTAATTCTACATTCTTGACATTTCCATCCATTTAACTTTGGGAGGTTTTTTAGCTAATTCTGAGTGTCCTGGTTGGTGATGTTTTTTAAAGATACAAATATTTATTTAATTTTGAGGTAAAACAAAGTAGATATCGAAGTACTTCATGTGATTCTCTAAAGACAATGTTACATTATGCATCATTCATCTTCCTGCATCGATGAACATGATTTATGCTGCTCTGGTATTTTCAACAGGTTTGCGCTCGTGGAACGTCGATCTGACGCTTTGTGACCTGAACAAGGAGCTGCAGCTGTTTGAGGCCAGACACACCGCTCAGTTTTCTTCACAGGTCAAAGGTCAGTCTGCGTAATTTGAATTAGAGTACTGCATAAAAACTGTGGTGGCAGTTCATGTGTTTTGCAGCATGTACAAGTTGTGTTTGTGGCATGTGCACATAAGCATTTATCTCCATGTTGCTCGTAAAAAAAAACGCTCTGGGTTGTGATGGTATCAGAGTCTATCTGCAGGGATTTAATGTGTTGCTAGCTGCGTATCATCTGATCGCCCGTGTAGTTCCTGTGCAGGGGGACACAGCATATCAGATTATATCCAGTCGGAGTGTGCCAACAACACCTCCTTCCCTCTCTGCGTCTCATTTGTCCTCTGCTGCACACGTGCACCGGGCGGTTCCTGGGGATGCGAGAGGCGATGCTGCCCGTATTGATCTGGCTCTCGTATGCAGACTGCATGTCCGGGTGGGAATCAATAAAGGCCCTAATGCAACACTATCTGCTCGGGGAATATAAGATCAGGCCCCGCGTGGTGAATGGAGCCAGTGTTAATGCGCATCTAGCCGAGATGTTACCGCTGTGAATGGAACTCTGCTTAGGGGGTCAAACAGACAGCTCAGAATTGGCTGAATGCATGGAAATAACTGAGGAAGCTTTCTTTCTATTGAAAGCAGTTAGATCTTGCTGTACACTTATCTTCCCACACATTTCTTTGGCTTTTAGTGTTATGTAAAGAGCATAAATGTGGTTGTTGACATCAGTGCTGTGGTTGGGTTTGTAAAAAAAAATCTAGCAGCATCTAACCATTTTATAATGAATGAACTGTTGACATAAACCCATTTAAAGGTGTAGTCCATTGATTAAGCTCTTGCTCTTTCAGAACATTTAGGTGGCATTATGTAAGATGCAACATTGCAGGGAAAAGGCAGCAGCTGAGATATCTTCCTTTATAGTCCATTCAAATGACATATTTGTATAATATATTTCATGGTATAAGTCAAAGGTCAAACTTTTGACATTTGTGGTTAGCAAGTTTTGCTCATTAGATCGACCCAGCTCTGCCTCATTTCTACATCACGTCATTGTCTCACTCTCGTGATGCACAGCCTCCTGTGGATCTCACATTTCTTTTAACACCACACACCAGCACGCCGACATGTGTTCCCGGTGGAAAAGCTGTAATATTGAACAGTTTGATCACCTTTAACATCTGTCAAATGTATCAGCCATTAGAGTCTTTGTTTTTGATTCCTGCTGTATTCAAGCTTACTTCATGAATAATTCAACATTGTTTCTTAACCATCCAGTCCTGTTAAATCACAATTATCGCTGGCATTTTCAGTCTCACCTCTGTCAAAGATTCATCCTGTTTCTCTGCTGCCTCCTCCCCTCCCTCTCCCGTTTGTTCTCATCTTCTCCTAGTCCTACTGTATTTCCTGAGCAGTCATACTGAAAGGTAGAATATTTCTCCTGTGGGTGGAGTTAACACTATCACTGCCAGGCCCATCTTATTTATGGCTTTAGTTATTTATTTAAACGTGTCTATACCTTGGAATCGAGTGCAATATTCTCTTAACATGCAGAAGCAATATCAATATTTGTCATCCGTTTTACAACCTGCCATCAAGGGAATATAATCCCAATTGATGTGAGTCATGCAACTGATGCACAAAATGTCTGTGCTACCCATTGTAGTTGAATTTATTAAATATCCATATTCATCTTGACTTGCTTGAGTCAAATTCCTTATCTGGTAAAGAGGTTATAGAACAGCTTTACTGCTTTTAACGATATTTGAGGCAAAACTAATATTCAGAGCGAATGCACTTTTTTTTTGTAATATATTTCTTTTTATTGAGTCAGGCACAATGAGTTACATTTATACAGTCTATATTCCCCCCCCCCCGGTCCTACATAGTGAAGTAAATAAAATAAATACATAAATACATATATAGGTATAAGTAAAGTAATGTAAAAGATCATTTAAAAAAAATTAATAGATAAGGAAATAAATAATAATACATTTACCCATATACTCACATATGTATACCCACTACACATACACACACACATATATATATATATATATATATATATATATATATATATATATATATATATATATATATATATATATATATATATATGTACATACCTACACCCATACCCACACATTTACATACACATATACATAAACATACATACACACATATACACATACATACACATACATACATACATACATGTATAAAAAAAGAAAACATACATTCATAGTCCCCCCTTTCATCTTAACTTAGTGTCTTTAGTTCAGCTATGTAGGCGAATGCACTTTTTTAACCCGGTTACTGTTGGCTTTCCTAAACCCGATATTTAAAAATAGTTAGAGATTACAATAAGAGAAACACAGATTTTGTCAGTGATTTATGGCCATGTTAAGGTATAAACTGTACTTTACAGGGTTTCTAATGGACTTTTGCATGCACACATTTGCATGACAAAGACCATAGCGATTAAAGTGCTGCTTTAAAGGAATGCTCCACTCATTAGATAATTAATCAAAACTTCAGTATTTAGTGAAACATTATGTTTAAACCATACCCTGAAGAAATCAGCGATATTCCCCGGTAAATAATGATTTTATAGCTCTTTTTTTTATCAAAACCTGTATATTCCGTCATGCCGCTGCCATTTTGCCCATTTTCAGTAGTCACGTGATGGTCGTGACGTCATCCATGCGTTCACTTTGTAAACACACGAAAACATGGCGAAGTTTTGAGCAATATGAAGAGATTGGATGGGGGAATTCAGCCATACAGGTTCGAGCCTACTTAGTACTACTTAGTAGATACAATGATTTTGATTACTAGATATGTATGCATGTAGTACCACCCTTGCTAGCGATTCCCTCTCTAGTTTAGCATACTCAGCCTCGTTGTCCCTGGCCCTAGAACCACGATTTTATGGGGCCGGAAAAACTGGGGGAAAATACCCACTAGCCGGTACTACGCTATATGGAAAGGCCACCAAAAACTGGCCTGGCCTGGACGATAAAGGACGTTTAAACGGGGCTACCCGCTGCAATGGAAATGCGCTATAACATACCTTATTCTTACTCCGAGCACTACTTCTGGTCCTCCGTCGCTTCACACTTGCAGAGGGCGATTTCTCAACTGGCCGAACTGGTGTCCTGGTCGGTGATGACACCAGAAAGACCGATGGTACTGCATCTCCATTAAGTAATGGTTGTTCAATAAATCCCATGTTATGTTTTTATCATACTCTCAGAGTAGTCGTCCGGAAACTTGAAATGTTCGCTGCATACATGCGCCTGTGGATCTTTCGGTTTTCGTGGCGCACTCATAACGCGCAGGGCTGGAGTGACTTTTGCTGTTGGGACTCGGGTTTGAGTCCAGCATGAACTTTTTTGTTATTTTCATGTCGATGGACACTGAATATTATGTAGTTTGAATAAAGGATTCCTAATATTGTTTGCCGAGACCAACATTAATGACCCATCAGCATTTTAAAGTGTAATATCCCTGCACATGCAGCAATGACATTTCTGCTGCTATCTTTGCAAAACGAGTTAACAGCATGTTATCTGGATGAGTGCTGCAGAATGCCGTTTTTATAAGGGATGTATATGTGTGTGTCTTTCATATTAAACATGATTGCTGGTAGATAGCCACAGAAGTCGTAACACAGTTTAACCTGGGCGGATCCCATTTTCCCATGGGTGGATCCCAGTTGACCCTGAGCGAATCACAGTTTACCTGAGAGGATCACAGTTTATCACAGCTGAAAACTTCTCCACGCTGCTTTCAAACTCTGAGTAAACAACGTACGCTTCACTGGGAGGCTGTCTGAAGGTGTACACATGTTTCAGATGGACTTGGTATCACATTAGGAACGATATTCAGTGATAAGTCGGGCAACAATAGCTGGTTTTAATCAGTGCTTGAATTGGAATGAAAAAGGTGCCAGTACTCTAAAATCAGCAACTTTTTCAAGTCAATTTTATATATACAGCCCACAAACAAGAATGTGGCTACTATAATGCTGGTGGGTTTGTCTCTTTACTACTGTATATTTTAGAAAGGTTCACTGTACTTAACATTTGTTATGATAGGCAGCGGATATGGCTAAAGCTCAGTAAGGTCAATATTAACTGAAAATATAGCAATCAAAGTCTAGATCTTCTGCTGAAGACACATGAAGCAGAGACCTTTCAGGTGAGAGCCCCTCTGGTGGTGTTCAACATTAATGACAAGGAAACAAAGCTCTGGTCAGAAGCATTTTTTATAAAAAGCTTTAACAAAATTAAGTATTTCTGTACATTTTGAATGCAATCTAACTTTCCAACTCAGAAAACGAAAAACGAAAAAGTGCCAAAAGTCTTCTCACATGGCTGAGCTGCTTTGCAATATACTTCACCACTGAAGAATACAAATATGTATAAAGTAAACTATGATGCAATCTAACTTTCCAACTCAGAAAAATGATAAAGAGCATGAACAAAGAACATGTAAAAACAAATGCAAAATTTGCACAATCTAAAATGAGAAACTGTAACTGCAAGTAACAAAGTCTGAGCCATGGTAAAGAGTTACATTGAACACCAAGCTGATCAGATAACTCCCTGGTTGGTCTGAAGTCCTTCTATCTCCAGGATCTGTACAAATCGGCACATTATGCCAAAAGTCTTCTCACTGGGTGAGCTGCTTTGCAATATACTTCACATTGTTAGAAAAGGCTCCAGAAGGCCTTGGGGACATCAGTATCAGGGGCTGGAGCTGGACAGGCTCTTTCATCAGCACTTCTCCTTCCCTTTGCCAGCCAGGACCTCACATACTGTTCCGGATTGAACTGTCCTAGTGATGGTCCATTACATTTAATGAAAACCAGGCTGGACAGTCGGCTGACAGAGAGAGCATTCCTTTTTGCAGTAAGGATATCGTTCATGCAGCTGAATGCCCGCTCACACTCACTAGTGGAGACAGCGATGGTTTGGACTGCTTTCAGTAGAGGCTCCATGGCAGCAGGTGTACGGGATGCCCTGGTTTCCT